ATTTGTTTTTTTTTTTTTTTTTTTTTCATCCTGTCTTGCAATCTACATTCCCTGAGCAACCACAGGAACCAAGTTACATTAAGCTTCAACACAAAGACGATGTAAGAATAATGAATCCTCATTTGCATCGACATTTGTATTCAGATTTGCCAGGCTATAAACTTGGCAGATCAAGCGGAATATTAAGTAGAGGCTTCCATGGTAAATTGTGACTCTTGCAATTGCTGAGTCGTTTTTCTTATTTTTTGCGTGCATGTGTGTGTGTATGTGTGTGTGTGTGCATGTGTGTATGTGTGTATGTATGTGCATATCTGTAGTGGCAGGTAAAGTCTCATGACTACTTGATTTCTGAGAAGCACATTGGCCCTCTTTCTCTTTCAGTATATGATGTCGATTTATGCAAAATTAAGCAGGAATGTACCAGCAGTAAGCATTTTAGCTGAAGATATAGTGACATATGACTGAAGTATTAACTCTCTTGTCCAGAGACCATGTGAAAGAATTCTTTAAGCAAATAGAGAAACACTATTGCAAAAGCAAACAGATCTTCTGAATCAGCCAGAGGTTTGATTTCACTGCAAGTAGAGTCCAAAGCACAAACTGTGAAATAGCACTAAACCTACTTGCTGCATAACGTGATACACTGTTTTATTTGTGATGGTGTTAATGTATTCATGTATGGTTCCATTAAAAACTTTGGCCTTGGTAAGCCTACCATCAGGTGCTCTCCACTTTGGTTTGGTTGGATTGTCTCCAGCTTTACAGTAGTATGTGTGAGAGCAAAGTTGACCCTTCTCTTCCAGGGTTGGACACTGAACCTTTTCCTTCACTGGCATTTGCTGAAGGAGAGGTGATCCTAACTATACATTTCCCCAAGAATTCCTCCCTTGTCTCTCTGGATCTGCCTTTCAGAACGAATAATTGCACAAGTGGAAGATTTACCTTTAATGAAAGTAATTTACGCACAAACTTTGGAAACTTTAACATGGATTATACTATTTCAAAAGCAGTGAAAAGGTGCTCAGTCAACAAGTGCTAAAAATGCTCCAATACTCACATTTGTTACCCACAGATTTTAAAGCAGTTTTCTCAGGACTCCAACAAAGTTCTCTGGAGAGAACCTGAGAGTGGCACTGAATTAGGAGATTCAGGAGAAAGATCAGGCATGCAGGAAATGCTTCCAGTGCCTTCTTTTTGTACATAGCCCCTCCTGACCACCCACATAAACATAAACCTAACAAAGAGAATGCCAGTACAGTCCATAGTGTGTGTTTTCATAATTATTTATAACAGGTTTCTGTGTTCAAGAGGTACTATGATGAAAAATGCTGGAATTTTTTCCAGTCCTTCCTGAAAAAGTTGAATTAAAAAACTTTATCTATGGTTGGTCATTCAGCTTTATCCATTGAAGAGCAAATCCAATGCAATTGCTAAACCTGTTGTAAACAGTATTATACTGTATAATTATTGGCTACAATTTCATCTGGGAAAGTCATATCAGCTTTGTTTTCTGAAAAAATACACAAAAGCCTAATGCTGTGTTCATTTGCTTTCATTTTGGTTTTATGCAGTAAGAAGATAATTGAACATGCATGGAATTGTTAGTTGTAATGCAGTGTTCGCTAAGGGTGGAAGATGATATGCTGCTCATGCAGAATGATAACCTATGGCATGCAAATGTAGCCATGCATCATAGTTTGCTGGTTTTGAGAAGCTTTAGAACTTAATTCTTTTAATATGGAGGAAAACATGGAATATGATGTCTCCTTCTTTTGAAAGCGTATTCTGTGCTACATTGCCAAAATGGTGCTTAATGTAGGTAGAATTTTCAAGATGTGTTTCCACTTCCTTATGCCCATCATCTTGATGAATTAATATTCAATGTTGTTGTTTGGGTTAGTATATGTACCTGCCATGAATTCTTTTGGAAATTTACCCTAAAACAGTTAACAATGTGGTCCTTTTCTCAGAAGGGAAAACCAAAACAATATCTCATTGGCTCTCCCAAAAAAAAAAAAAAA